CTCAAGCGAGTCTCCTGCCTCCGCCTCCCAAGTAGCTGGGACCACAGGCGCCCGCCACAACGCCCGGCTATTTTTTGGTTGCAGCCATCATTGTCGTTTGGCGGGTCCGGGCTGGGGATTCGAACCCACCACCTTACGTGTACGTGGCTGGCGCCTTAGCCGGTTGAGCTATAGGCGCCGAGCCTAATTTTCCACTTTTAAACATGTAACCATTTAATTAATCCATGCTTGGGCACAGGAAGCTTCTTTGAATGATTGGCCCATTTGAATTCATTTGGGCTTGAATTGCCTCCTCCCCCCCATCCCCCACCCCCCCATCCCCCACCCCCTGCCCCTGCTTCTGCACAAGGTAACTAGTGAGTCCAGGCCAGGCCACCTCTAGGCAGGAACACAGAGCAGGGGAAGGTGAACCAGTGATGCTTCCCATGGTCTCAGGTCCCCACATGGCTGGCACCTGCTACCCCTTGTGCTGTCTGACTCTGCCTCTCCACGCTCCGGTTCCCATGGCCTGCTCACTCCAGTTCTACCTTCCTGGCTCCTCCCATCCCTGTTCCGCTTAGATCTGCTAGTGCCCCACCCTGCAGTGATTTCTCCAGCGCTTAGCTGCTGACCTATCCAACCCCCTATCCGTCCAACTCCGTTCTGTTTGGACTAAATGAAAGGTAAATAACCAAGCTTATTAAATATGTGATCTTATTTCATACACAACCTAAGTCAATAAACTATAGAGCCTCATGTGTTGGCAACGGCCATCTTCCTCCTTGAATAATAGTTTGTTGTGTTCTACCAAAATAGCTGTGAATAACCAAAGCAAGACCTCCTGGCTTCCAGGCCTATGATTTTCCTCTCTCTATAAGCCCTTCCCATCTCTGTCTGTAAGCCCTCTCCATCTCTCTGTCTGAAAGCCTTCTCCATCTCTCTCTGTAAGCCCTCTCCATCTCTCTCTCTCTGTAAGCCTTCTCCATCTCTCTCTCTATATAAGCCCTTCCCATCTCTCTCTGTAAGCCTTCTCCATCTCTCTCTGTCTGTAAGCCCTCTCCATCTCTCTGTCTGAAAGCTCTCTCCATCTCTCTCTGTAAGCCCTCTCCATCTCTCTCTCTCTGTAAGCCTTCTCCATCTCTCTCTCTCTGTAAGCCCTCTCCATCTCTCTCTCTCTGAAAGCTCTCTCTAGCTCTCTCTCCATAAGCCCTCTCCAACTCTATCTCTGTAAGCC